GAATTCAAAATATTTTTGAAAATCATAGTGTCACACAACATTTGGTGTCTTGTAACTTGATGAAAGAAGCTTCAGAAGGGGGAAAGAACAGTTCAAGACAAGTCTGCGAAAAGTTTTAAGAATGTCATGGAGAAATAAATGTGAAAATAAATAATGTAGTAAAATGTTCCAGTTGCAGATGATTCTAGTTTAACTTTCTAATTCTCACTTCCTTGGAAACTAAGTACTGCAGGAGAAAGAGAGGTGATTGCAAGCAATGATAGTAAGCTGCTGCTTGTTAGCTGAGTCACCATAATTGAACCTCTGTAGCCTGTTTCAGTTGCTAAGTAATGCAAAAGTGCTTAGTTTTTGCCTGAAGACTTAAATGCCTCAGATATTGTTTTTAGTCAGCTTTACTTAGGTAGACTATATGCGTTATTTATTCATACAACTTTTTCAAACTTGACAGACTAAAACTTCAATGTCTCCTCAAGGAAATGAGTGCATAGATTACTTATGTGTAGTATAGAGCAGTGCTTCTTTTTCTGTGTTGTAAACAGGTTGCTTTTTAACATACAGAAGCGATTCCATTGTAATCCTATTCCTCTTGTTCTCAAGAATAAATAGATATTTCTGACTTATGTTCTTTAAACAACCCACAGTAGGGATTGTTCCTCTTAAAATTACACTGAGTAGTTAAAGCTTCAGTGTTGTCACTGTTTTCCAAGATTTTGCTAATCTAAGCAGCAGCATCTATGAACACACTGAGAATTCTCCTAGAAATTGTAATGGCTTTCTAAAGGACGCAGCTGTTTGCACTCCTGTTGTAGTCTGTGTCCTTTTTATCTTTGTTCATAAACAAGTTTTTCTTTGCCTTTAATAATTTTTTACTGCCCATCTCCCAACCATTTCAATTTCTACACTAATGTCTTCAAGATTTTGTGATCAGAACTGAATGCCATGATCACAGTGAGGATGCATCACTGTTTCACATAATAACATTATCATATTTTCAGCACTATTTTCTGTCTTTATCTCAATGCAGCCTAACATCTGATTTTTTCTAACTATCTCTGCTCATTGAGCAGGTTTTTCAATAAGCAGATGTATCCACCACGATACATCTTTGCTTCCCTGATTGTTACCATGTGAGTCACTAAAATGGTTCCTTTTAATGTGAATGAGTTTACACCTATCTCGTCTGTATTTCATCTGTCAGAATGCTCCCCTGGCATGTTGTAAACAGGATCTGTAAGTTGCTCATGGTATTCTCTACTAACTTAAGAAATTCACATCTTTTTCCTGCTGATTCAACCATTGTTCATCATCTTTCCTTACTGCTTTCTAAAACCATTCCAAAAAATTTGGTATAAATCCTTTAATCTCTACTTGTAGTCTCCCTTCTTGAAAAACAGCAATTTATTCCCTACTTTTATGGTTTTTGCTTTTTTTAAGTTGCTTAAATCTCCTAATAGAAGAGTGCCTTAACTTCTGCAGTTCCTCCATGCCTCTCAGGAGGGATTTTGTCAAAATCCACGTTGTATGCCTAAAGGCACATTTTTTTTCAAGAACAGATGAGCTTGTTGTAAGAACTTGTTAGCAATGTTACTTGCTATCAGATTTTCAAATCTTGTTCATACCTTTAACAACACTTGTTAACATCAACACAACTGACAGAAGAACTTGAACCATGAATTAGAGTCTTATGAAATTTAGGAAAGGATTCACCTTGCTTAACTTAGTCATAGAACGGTTAGGTATCTGGTGGAAGCTAGTGAACTAGATTTCCCGTACAGGCAAAGAGACAGACAAAGAGACATATGCATGTCCAAGGGGCAACTCAAGCTGTCAAAACAGAATAATTTTTAGATGGGTTGAATCTCTAATAGGTATCTTAAGGTATCTATTGTCTCCATTGATGTAAGAGGGAGCTAGGGTAGGTATTTTAGGATAGACAAATAATTCTTAAATGAGTGAAATTAGGTAAGAAGAATCCAGCTGCCAGTGATCACTGGGGTTCAAAACACATTCTTGTTTATGAATTCCTTAAACAGCTTTCCTTTCATAATTATTTGCTTGCCCACTGCACACAGAAACAACTTCTACACATTTTATTGTTCTCCAGTGTACCTCCTCATCAGGTTCCCCTCTTGCTGTTGTCTGGCTCTTTCCTTCTACATACTAGATCCATTAAATCAGGCCTGTAGTCCCCGTTGTCCTCAGTCTTGTTTTATCTACACTGCCTGCAAGAACTTTTCATATTTCATTGTGTCTTATAGCACTACCAGCTTTGGGCTTCTGCCAACTCTAACACAATAAAACGAGCTACTAGGCAGCATTTTCTTACGTAGTCAGTTCCCCATCTTCATCGACACTGGCTATCATGCTCCAGATAAACTGCTGAAAAGACATAAACAGCTCTCAGATGGGTCTGTGGTCATTCTTGTACGTATGCTTTCCAAATTTCGTGCCAGACATTTTCTTTCTGTAGTCTCAACATATCACATACACCCTGCTATCTCATTGTCTCAACTCCACGCAATCACTTATTTTCCTCTTCCATTAAAATCTAATCTCAGTCATCTTCTCCCTGCAATGCTCTTGTTGCTTTGATGCTGTCTTATTTTATAAGAAATGCACTCTTCTT